TTTTCGCTAAGGAAAAAGTTGTTTGAAATCATCTCCCGAACCACCCTTTTCAAGAAGTTACAACATTTTTGGGACACCCTGTATGCGCGTAGGTTTCGCGCATGCGCGGCGCGTTCGTAAATTTACGAAGATCGCGTCGACGCGTCGCGTTGAATTAGAAATTCGAATAGACCGCGTTTCGTTCTAATCTAAAATGTAGAAATTGCGAAATTCCTTTGCTTAGTGTGCGAGGCGATGGGCGAGTTATGTGCGAACATTCGGAAACAAGGCGCGATGGAATAAGGAAAGTGTAGCGTTTCTTTTGTTAATCAACGTTTCCATCGTGAGGTTACGTACAGTTACGTGGCGTTTGGAGAAATGAACATATTGCGAGGAAATGTCATTCGCTGTTGTGAGAATTTTCAGTCAAGGACGAAGTCGGTGGCAGAAATTCTTTCGATGGAGGTAACAAGCGGGTCTGCTCGACTATTATACTTTTCAAATATGGAAGACTCGCGATGTATGTACGTTGACAATTTTATGACAAGCGACGGTTTATAGGTTATAATGCAACGTGGATTGTTTTCTGTATAGAGAGCAATAAGGATTTCGGTTTTGGTTGATCGCTATCCATAAATTTCAATCAGGGAAACGATTTAAACGTATTTTGATAAAGCTTAAAAATTTAATTTCGTTCGGAATCGACGAGCCTTTCGTACGAATACGATCGAATATTTTCGAAAGTTGGAGAGTACATATAAAACACGGCAATGGTTTTCTCTCGCGTATTAGCAGATATTCATTGATATCTGGAGTGCAGTTACTTCGTGTTGGATTAAACGGTTAATCTTGTTCGCTCAATCGCTCATAAATTATTTATTTATAACAGATTGGTCGTTTATCTTGGCGATTCAAACTAAAGCCTGAGATAATTTTGTAGCCAATAATATCGAGCTTCTTAGAAAATAAAAGTAACAGCGTGTCGAAATGATTGAACACTGTTACATTTGTAATCCAAGCAACAGTAATTTTTTCTTTATCTATGTAGAAATTTGTGTCGCGTCACGATCAGGATTAACAATTTAATCCAACGCGCCTGTTGCGGGGATTAAAAAAATAATAACACGGTAATTCCCGCTGCCAAGGAGCGCGTGGACTCGAATAAATAGTTTAAACCGGATCAAAAATGTCGGAGGAGCTTTTCGATATTACAGTATACTCGATTACGAACACAATCATAAAACATCCAGCGCGGGTATTAAACAAGAAGTCGATAACGTGCTTCGTAAACTTTTTGCGGTAATTCTAGGACTATTTTTTATTCTTCGTTTATTTACTAAATTCAACTACATGGTTTTCGACACTGAAACGATCGAAACGAAATGATAGCAATGTCGCGATTGTTTAATTCGGTTATTCTGTTTGTTTGTTTTTCTTTATTGTCCTTCTTTGTTGTCCTGTCGGACAGTTTACACTTTTCCTGAGAATACAAGATTAGAATATTAATAAAACATATAATACTTAGTCTATAATTTCTTACAATAACTACTGTCTATCGCTATATTACGTAACTTAACCTAACTGTTTCCCTCTCTAATACTCTAACATTGTAGACCAACGACCTCTAAGTGCTTTAGATTGAACTATTTCCTATTTTATATTTAAAATGTTACCAGGCAACTTTGCCCTATCTTTACTTATTCGTTAATCTACACAAAAGTGTTTCTTTTTTTTTTACATTGTAAGATGAGATTCCTCTAAGAAGGATACGATTGCTTTATACAGGGTGTCCCAAAAGTCGGGGAGGAGCCGGAAATGAGGGGTAGCTGAGACGTTTCTGAACAACAATTTCCTTTGCAAAAATGTCGGATGGGGCTTCGTTAAGGAGAACCTTCGCTAGGTGGCAGCGTCAATGTCCTTCGATGCACGTCGAGTCACTTGTTCGCGTACAAGCGCGGTCGCCAGTGCGTAGCCTTCGCTACCGCGGCCGCTCCAACGGTCTACGCGCGCTCTGATTGGTCGGGGTTTTCTCTTAATATCTCCTTAACGAAGTCCCATCCGACATTTTTGCAAAGGAAATTGTTGTTTAGAAACGTCTCAGCTACCCCTCATTTCCGGCTCCTCCCCGACTTTTGGGACACCCTGTATATCTTAAGTTTGTCTAATGCTAGCAAACTATAGATATTCGAGTTATTTTCTTCAATTCCTTTTCCTATTTTTCCGTACAATTCGGTTATTCTAAATTTTCATTTCAATTAGGAATTATGCTTTACAACGAAACACAAGTTTAAAAAATGGCGCTGTAATGAAGGATAATTCTCGTACACCGCTTGCACTCCTTGGAAACCGATTCCCGTTAATTATCATAAAACTTTAAAGGGGGCTCGGAGAGATTCGCGGAGGGGAAGAAAAAAAAAGATAATTCAGAACTTCCGTGATTAATGAAGTAATTCATTCCAAGTAAGAAGTTGTATTTCATTTCGCCCGACTTGCGTTCTTTCGACCGAAATAATCTCTGGGAGGGGGAGAGTTATAGCGGGGGGGCCGAGGGGTCGTTGCAAAGAGTTCAAATCAACCCCCAAATCCCGTAATAACGAATAGGAACGCGTTTACACGTTCGTTTACGCTTATTCGTTTCCGCGGAAATGTACAATTTTTCCAAATAAATACAGTGGCTGTAGATTATATTCGTATACCGATCAATTTACGAAAAAACTTTTGTGTGAAATTCTAGTTTCTTAACGTTTTCTTTTTTATAATCAATGATACTTTACATATTCTCGGTAATCTTTAAGATATATGTAGTCCAAACAACATTTACTAGTTAATATAATTTGTGAAATAAACAAGAAAATGCGAAAAGTGGGTAAAAGTATAGAAGCAATAAGTATTTGTATGATTCTTATGACGAACCATTTACAGTAGAATTTGTAACGTAAACATATTAGTTTATTGCTTCGTACGAATTATGAAACATCAAATTTCCAGGAAAGTACTTTTCAAAAAGGCTCTAATAGAGGAATGGAAAAAATCCCACTTCGAATAACTAATAATTTAGTTAATTTAATGCTTAGAAGAGTTACAATAATTATAAAATCAAAGGGAAATTCCAAATTTCTTTTTTTTTCATCAAGCTTTAAAAATCAAACAGCTCTGCGAATACTTATTGCTTCAATATTTCTATCGATTAATTGTTTTTTTCTCGTTAATTTCTTAACTTTCATAAATAGCTATTTTTTTTTGTACTCTATTTATTCTAGAGATTTCCGGGAATATGTAGAATGTCATTGTTTATAAAAAAAAGTAAGTTAATAAATTACAATTTTACATATTTTGTTTGGAAATTGATCGGTGTCCGAATACTTTCTACAATCACTGTAGCAATAAGTCTAAGAAACATTTCCGGAACATTCTAAATCGAGAATCTTTTTTCAAACGAATCGATTCGAGGCTAGTAGAGGACTAATTAGTGTTTTGTGGATTTTATAGGTGAATACAGTCTTCCAAAGTAGTATTATTCCTGAAAAACTTGTCGACCGACCAGACACGATAGGCAAAGTAATCGAGGGGATAGGCAAGTGAAAAAAAAAACACGAAAGTGCGAACTGCAATGTGCAAGAAAAAAAGTGCGCGCACTCCTGGTAATAAGAACATCACGAGAGAAACTCTACGACGATGACGGAAGGCGGACCGAACATAAGTGTAAGTAACTAGTCATTTTCCTGCATATAAATACAGCGAGAATTAATTTTCCCGGGACTGGAACAAATGCAATTTTATTGTTTAATGTTAGAGCAACGATGAAACATTCCCAGATTATTTATTATCAAAACTAAATGGGCTGTACATCTTGGTACTTCTTGAAAACAAATATGGAAATGATTATCATAGAGTGTGTCTCAGGATTAGCGTAAGAACCAGAAATGGAGGGTAGCTGAAACGATTCCGAACCACAATTTCCTTTGCAAAAATGTCGGATCGTGCTTCGTTTTTGAATTATTAACGAAAAACGAAACACCATTGTGGTTCAGAATCGTCTCAGCTACCCCTCATTTCCGGTTCTTACGCTAATTCTATGACACCCTGTATCCTTTGCTGTGGGATTGTCCCGATGTCGTCGTTTCTCTGGTTTTCACTCTCCAAGTCTCTACGTGTAAATATAAATTGTTTGTCTCTATGTTCTCCACGATCCTCGATATATTTTCCTCTTGCTTCTCGTTACTTAAAGATCTCCTTACCTGAGTTCCCAGAACTACTGATATTTAGTTCCAGTGTTTTCTAAAACGCCTGCACCCTAACATTTTCTATTCCACCACCAGTGCTCCTAAAACTCTCGTTAAGACTCTGTATTTATGTTTGCTTGCTACCAGGTTCTCTATATTTTCCTCGTAGAATGTTTATAACTCTCCACTCCTCAGATGTTTCTCTCTATCCCTGTTTCCAGCAGAGGTGAGCAAAACTCCTATGTGGTTGAATATTTTCAACAATAAATGAACATCTTCTGTTATAAATGTAAAATATACTGATTCTCTTGAAATTAGAATTAGGTGAGCAAAACTCCTATGTGGTTGAATATTTTTAACAACAAATAACGAACGAACATCTTCTGTAACCAATGTAAAATATACTGATTCTCTTGAAATTAGAATTAGGTGAGCAAAACTCCTATGTGGTCGAATATTTTCAACAATAAATGAACATTTTCTGTAATAAATGTAAAATATAAGGATTCTTTTGTTTCCTCTTGAAATTAGAACAATGCTTTCAGTGCATTGTTTTTACTCCCTTTCGAGTTAAATCTACAAACGTATTTCTCTTTACAAAGGAAGTTGCTTTCTAGAATATATTTCTGAAATTTCTCCCTTTGTAAAGAAACCTTTATTCGCAATGGAAGATGAATTTTCTTTTCGTCATCTATCGTTCGGATGAAATTTCACTCGTCCCTGATTTCCAGAAATCAATTTTCTCCACCCGCGCCGCTTGTTTCTTTGATAATACACCTTTTTCAAGGTTCCCTCGCTTAGCCGGTCTCCTTTTCTAGATTTCCCTCGTCCACGAAGTTCTCTGATCTCGAAACCCTTTTTTCTAGGCTTTATATATCTCTCTCTCCGGGTTTCCACGTTTTTTTTTTTCTTCTTCCTGCAGTCTTCTCTCCTAGGCCCCGTTTTGTCTCCCACAAAGATTGAGATTGAATAATTTAATAGCGAAGCCGAGGAGATGGTGCAAGTTTATTTTTTCATGTCACTGTGCTCTCGCTTCTCATGGAATTAAAACGAGACACAGCAGGCCTTCTCAACCTATGCCTCGCGTCCCAAAAGTGCACAATTAAGTTGAATATGCTCGTTTAAAACTGTGGTCAATTCCTCGCATCGAGTTTCTTGTAATATTCTCTTCTTCGATGGTTGGTTTGCTCGGTACTTAAATATTTTTGAAACGTCTTTATTAACTCGAATACTACTTTTCTTTGTGTCTCGAAGTTGAATATGCTCGTTTAAAACTGGGGTCAATTCCTCGTATGGTTTTTCTTCTAATATTCTCTTCTTGTCTTCTTGTCGTCTTCGATGGTTGGTTTGCTTGGCATTTAAATATTTTTGAAACGTCTTTATCAACTCGAATACTACTTTTCTTCGTATCTCGAATATTTATTGAACACGTCTTAAATTTAAAAATTCAGCATCTTAGTACATAACAAAAAACATTGAGTCGATCTTTTCCTACGTAATGTAGGATTTATTATATGATTAACTATATTTATAAAATGCTGACTTAACTATCAACGAAACTAAAATGAATAGAGTCCGCTCAACGATCCGCTCTACGTCTATTCGCGCCGTCTTTACCCTTCGACTGCTCAATTAAATCTGTCCTCGACGCTTCTTTCTCTACCTCCCCTTAAAGTTAAGCACTGCCCAGGATTTTTCCTAGGCAGGGGAACGTTGTTCTAGGCGGCCTCGCCGAGGCGCGCTTGGACAACATCAGCCCAAGTGACCAGGTCATAAATTAAACTAAACTAAAGCTACGTTACAGTATCCTTATACCTATCCTATAGCTAACGCTCTCTCTCTTTCTCTCTCACGCACACGCGCACATTCCCACTCCTACAGTAATGTATCTCGAAATAATTCATTTCGCAATCTCTTTTCATCTAAAACTTCATTTTGAGAATCACTGCGGTATGTCCAGTTTTAAATAAGACAGAGAATCCGTCCGAGCCACTCTGGACGATCTTAATTACGGTCGAATTCGTTATTGAGATGCGTGCACTTCCCGTTCGCTTCGTCGCGAATGGAAAAATACCGTCCCCTCGATTGTTTTCCAGCCCTCGAGATGTATTTTCATTTAAGAATTTACGAGGTCGTTTTAATCTCGAACTGGGATTAACGCTTTTACGGGCGGAAACCCGAAGTGTGCCCCAACAATTTCAATGATACTACGCAGATCGTTAACCACACTTTTAGCTCGGAATTACGGGGGCTGTTAAATTCGGGAAATGGTTTTGGTAATTCCCCGCCATGGAAGGAACGTTTACCGTGATCCCGATCATCCAGATTAAAAAATAATTCACAATCTTGCCGTTACCCCGTCGACTATAAACAAAAAAAAAAAAAACAACGTGGTGATTCTTCAATTCGTTATACTGGACTTACACTGCACGCTAAAATGAAAACGCGACGGCAAAAAAAAAAGCAGGTTCATTTATAAACCCGCTGTAAATTTTGATTCGAACGATAGAATATTTATGTCCATATTGTATATCGCCGTAAATAAAACGAGGCGGTATAGTGTTTTATCCACGACTTTCGTTCGTTTCGTTTCGTTTCGATGACACAAATTTTAACAGATAAACAAGCGTTTGTTTTCCATTTGTTACACGATATTTCAAAGTAACCGAGAGTCTCGCTCGTTTTCCGTGTGTATTTCGTCGTATTTCGAGCGTCAAATACTCGCGGCAAACTCCACGCGCAGAAATTCAGGTCTGGTTGTAATGCACACGCGTGAGAACCCCAGAGAAGTTTATGGGAAAGCTCGCGATACATACTATGCATCGAAAGTTCGTATCTTGGCGTCGATTCGTTACGAGCACGTCTAACTTCAACCGGCAATAATTCAAAAAGTTGATAACCGATAGTCACGCGAAAGCGTCATGAAATGTCACGCTACACCTGCATGGATACTTTTCGCATCGAATGGATCGAACGACACCGAAAGATAAAGAACGGGAAGAGCAAAGATTGCTATCGTTCCGTTTTACTCGAATACTTCTCGCGCGATCCATCACCTTGGGAAGTAAAATAAGAAAAAAGAGAAGCAAAGAATTGGCGAGCTAGAGTTTGCCTTTCGTTTAGCGCAGTGTTTGCGAAGTAGAGAGCTCGATCTCCAAACCGGTACCGGTAACATTGTTAACACTTTTCAAAGGGTGTTTCTTGACATACAATCACCTCGAGTTCGATTGACGACTTTATATTACGGGTTTACCGGATGTAAGTATCTTTTATTAGAACGAAATATTCGTCAATGTTCGATTTTAACTTCTAGTGAACTCGTATTATTTGAATTGTTGCCAAGCGTTGCTCTACAGTCAGTGTAATAAGTATTCGTACAGAAACCAATTCAAAACTTCATGTATTTATTTTATTAATCAATTTTGGGGGAAGTAATCATTAACCAACATTCATAAATATTTTTAGAGTAGAATTTGCGTAAATTAAAGTTTTAAATTAACTTTTAATGTTAGCCTCTCGTTTCTTTTCTTCTTGATTTTATTTGAAATTGGTTGCTGTAGGAATACTTATTACACTGACTGTAAATATATGAACACTCGACCAATGACAATGTCAATATACTATTTCTTCCATCTCTTCCAACATTTTTGGGACACCCTGTATTCGTTATCCGTTATTCGAATAAAATTTCTCCCTTTTCCATTATGGAGTTTGAGGTCCACCTTAAAATAGTGCGATCGATGAATCACCCGTTAGCATTCATAACGATTTATTTACCAAGCTTTATAAAATTATCCTCACGAGTAATTCCCCAGTCCATATACATTAAAATATTGCTATGATCTGAGAAGCGAGCTAAAAGTACGATTAAATGCATTTATCCGAGTGAACAGTTACAATTAGGATGATAGGTGGATCCCTAGCGTACAAACAGTTTGTTCCTTGACAAATCCATATAAAATTAAAGAAAATTTAAAATTTAACACGTTGGTCGTCACGTCACCCAGACATGGGTGACAGGACTTTTCGTTAAGGAATTTAAAAAATTATTTCCAAATGTAAGCCAATAATGAAAATAAATCTGGTTAGGTTTCGTGAATTTGGTGACGTTAAAAAATTCTATACTACGATAATGTTAATTTATGTAATCTTCGATAGTTTCGAGACGTAGTTTTAACTTTCTAATGATTTTCGCGAGTTTCGACTTGGCAGCCGACGTGTTAAAGAAGTTTTCCTGTAAATATTTCGAATTGTCCCAATCTATCAATGTTTATCCAGCAATTTCCTTCAATGAGCCTACTTTATTACTCACTTTTCGTCATAACCCTCTGGGCGTACGATCGAAGTACGAGACAACACTGTCACCTGTTTAACGATAAACAGGGTCGATTTAGCTTGACCCAACCTATCCTACAAATCCTTATTAGAGCGACACTTGGCTAATTGCGCGCTAGTTCTATTGTGCAAGAGGGCATGCGG